GCGGAGGCGTTCGACTTCACAATTGTCAGCGACTTGTTCCGCCGTACGGAGACCAGTTCGTCGTGACCAGGACTCCAGACGGGGTGACCGTGAACATTTCAGGAGCGCGGACCGGCGAGTCAATGGTCGACGGCAACGCTGACGTTCATTGGGGGCTTGAGCACATCGGCATTACCATAGACGATCTTGATGCCGAACTGGAGCGACTAACAGGGGCATTGAGCATAGCATCATAGTAAGTCCCGATCACTGGTGTCCGACGGACCGCGTATCTTTTCATTGCGGGCACCGGACGACACTACGCATCGAGCTTCTCCAACTCCCAGGGTAACGACCACGGGCAAGTGCCCACCCCCGCTGTCCTCTTTCAGCAGAGATGTCAAGCGTGCCAAGACGATCTTACTTTCCGAATCCCAACAACAAACCCTCAGGATTTTCGCCGGCTGTACGGACAGGCAATCTCATCTTCGTATCGGGTCAGGTCTCAGTGGATGCAGATGGCAACCTGGTCGGCGAGGGTGACTCCTATGCTCAAGCCGTCCATGTCTTAGCAATGTGGAAGCCGGTCTGCGCGCTGCCGGAGCGACGCGGGCGGACGTTACCAAGATCACGGCGTTCCTAATCAACTCGGAGGACTACGCCGGCTACGCGAAAGCCAGGCTGGAGTTCTTTGAAGGAGATCCCGGCCCTGCGTCAAGTACAGTGTTCATCAAGGGTCTCGTCAGTCCCAGCTACCTGTAAAAAAAAAGATCCGAACGATCGCATTTTGTATGCGTTTAGTCGCCGCAGGGGTTGTCATGGTCGAGATCTGCGTTTTCTGCAAGATCAGAGACGGCGAGATTCCAAGCGATATCCTCCACCGGGACGAGCACTGCTTCGTAATCCGGGACATCAACCCGATGGCCCGTACACCTGCTGGTGATTCCTGTGGAGCATTTCGCGCTGCTTTCTGAGGTTGAATCCGATCTCAATGTGCGGCTGGGGCTATGTTTGACGCACCCGAAAATGGCCGTCGCTGAGGGAGTGGCGGAGAGCGGGTACAGGCTGGTAATCAACCAGGGGCGCGACGGTGGCCAAGAGGTGCTCCATCTGCACATGCACGTTATGGGCGGACGCCGGCTTGGGCTGCCGGCGTAGATTGGGATTACGGGCGTGTCCGACCTTCCAAACGCGATTGAGTCCAGACTGAGGGAACTCCCGACAGGCCTACGGGACATGTGGAGCGTTCCAGGGTAGTTGGGCAGGATCTCGCAATTCGCCACGCCGTCGACTCCGTTGAGGCTGACACCGGCGTCGCAGCGCACGATCTCGCCAGGGCAGTCAGGCGACCTGTCCTATTGCAAGAGGCCGAGCGACTAGGGACTGCGAGCTCTTCGGTCGAGAGACAACAGCCACTACTCCTACACGGCCCGGTCGCAGCTGCATGGCTCAGCAGCGAGGACGGCTACGACATCGGACCAATCTTGGAGGCAGTGGAGTTTTCACACAACTGGCCGTCCGGGCATGGCAGACTTGTCCAAGGTCGTTTTCCTAGCCGACAAGCTGGATCCTAGGAAGGTGGAGAGGGCACCGTTCCTGAACCGAGTCGCAGAGTTGGCGAGAGACGATCTTGACGCAGCAATTGTCCACTATCTGGACCGGACCATCGAACGGCTGGTTAAGGACGGTCAGATGGTGCATCCAACCGCCGTGGAGTTCCGGAACCATCTGCTCGCTCGCGCAGACAGGGCCTAGACTGCCGAGGACTTGAACCGGTCAGTGCAGTGCAGGCTCCGATCAGGGCGATTCAGTCAGTATGGCGACCCTATCACCGATGGTAGAATTCAGCGTCCTCGCCGCATTTCCGTTGCCGACTGCTATCTCGACGGTTCCCTCGCTTCCGATTATCGCCAAGAGCTTCCCGACGGCTTCCGAGTACGAGGCACTAAGCCCCTCGATCCTTTGTCCCGCCACCTCAAATGCTGATCCAACTGGAACTGAATCGGCCGGAATGTTAGTAATCAGGTTTCCGTACCTGTCGATGTGGACTACTGTCCCGCCGGACAGGTTCGCGCCGTCTGAAGATACATGTGGAAGACTCCAATGGATTCCAGTGGCGAGCCGAGGTCGGAAATCTGCACACCAGACGCGATATGGGCAGACACCGGCGCGAAGACATCGCGACCGTGACATGTCCGGCTGACATTAGGCAGCCAGAACGCGGAAGCGTCACGCAGCAGGTACGCTGGGCGCCGCTGCGCCTGCACTGCTCAGACAGCCTAGTTTGTTTGAGAACCTGCCAGGTGTCTCCCGCCGCACCAATATCATCATTGGGCTTGGCCGGAGTCTGGATATACTCGCAGATCGCAAGGGAGATAAGTCCGTTGTCGGGGCCAACGAAGGTGCCGGACGGGGTGTGGACAGCTATAGATCTTCGATCTGACCCTACTCCCGGATCTACCACTGCTACGTGAATCGCATCAGGTGGGAAGTGCGTTGCCGCAGATGCGAGAACGTAGGTGGTGGTGGGGTGGGGTGTGTGTGAGTCTGCCCTGTAGGATATAGCTGCTTGGCTGATTTCGTGGGAGATATCGACGATATTTGCCTGTGGACACCGGCTCAGAATCACTCCCTTCATCGCACCGACATAGGGATCGCGAGTGCCAAAGTCGGTTGTGAGGGTGATGACTGGTCGATTCACGGCCAGAGGCCTAGAAGAGTCGCGCGCTCGCTATCGAGAGCCCAAGGAACACGACAATGAGCGCAACGGTGAATCTGAGTAGTTGGAGCTCGATGCCGCGCCGGGTCCTGAACGAGTTGTCAGCCGCGCCAAACAGCCCGGTGCCCTGTCCTTTCACCTGCATCAGGATAATAATCACCAGCAGAATTGAGACCAGAATCTGAATTATGTTGAGAACCGTCATGTTTGGCTGACCCCGGTGTTCAGTTGGAGAGTAGTTCTATGCAGGATAAGTTTGCACCTCAGGCGACGATCGACGTCTGCCGTTGGTGGAACCGTATATGTCCATGATAGCGGAAGCAAGCTTGTGGGCGTCGTGCCGGACAGAGTGCGAAGCGTCGGCCATGTCGGCAAGGACGACCTGGGCGTGGGGAATCGGGTTTCCATCGTGTACGACGGGCTGCCCAGCAAATCGGTCGTCAAGTGGGAGAGGGTTGCTGTTGGCAAGAATGCAGCCGGCGATGGAGTCGAAAGTGTGCTGCTGAAGCGCTATGACATGGTCCCGGACGGCGTATGAATCGGTCTCGCCAACCTGGGTGGCAACGTTGCACACGTAGATTACCGTAGCGTCCGTATTTGCAAGAGCGTCCGAGATTCCCTGCACAAGAATGTTCGGCAAGATACTCGTGTACAGGCTGCCCGGACCAATGACAACTATGTCGCGCTCCTCGATAAGATAGCGTAAGGAATAGAAATACGAGCGTTTACGGCCAGGGGGTGCGCGGGCGCGGACGCGGGTTCGATCATCAGTCTTTCGATCTCTCCTCCGCGTTTGGTGATGCTGGACTCGCCGAGTACCACGCTCCCGTCACTGAAACGCGCAGACAAGCGCAGGTCGGCAGACGTCGAGGGCAAGAGACCTCCCCTGACAGCGAGTACACGGCTGGACTCCACCAGCGCCTGATCAAAGCTCTTGGTCACGTTGGTCATCGCGACAATGAACAGGTGTCGAACTGTGCCTGTGCCCCTTCAGCCGCTGCTGCTCCTCGTGCGACCGGTACTGCACCGGTCTGTGAGCAGAGACTCGTCTTCAGACAGGGCGACCAAGCAGTTGCGGAAGTCTCCGGGTGGCAACACGCCGAGCTCACGTCGGAGTATGCCAGAGCTCCCGCCATCGTCAGCGACGGTAATGATCGCGGTCAGATTGTCGGTGTGCAGCCTGAGACCTCGAAGCAGTACGGACAGGCCGGTACCGCCGCCAATCGCGACTATCTTCGGGCCTCTTCCCCTGGACCACCTGTTGTAGACAGTATCTGCCACGGAGTCGATTGACTGCGATCGCATGAACAGCGGGCTCAGCGCCCTGTAAAAGCCGTACATGGACAGCAGTATTGCCCCACCACCAATAGCCAGAAGGAAGAACCCCTCAAAGTACCACGGTAGAAAGTCGGGAAAGCTGACTGAGAAGAACTTCCTGATCAGATACGCCACACCTATAGAGCAGAACGCGACGCCCACTGCACCAATCAGAGCCCATCGCTTGAGGCCCACTCCGGGATGCAGCAGGCGCAGGAAGCGTTGAAGACGACTGACAGGCGCTCCGTTCAACGCCGAGCCAAGACTGGCCCCATTTCTCAGAGCCGCCATCAGCGCATCGCTTCCAGGTGCTCACGAACCATCTGGCTGGCCATGCGAGGGTTTGCCTTGCCGCGCGTCGCCTTCATCACCTGGCCCACGAGGAAGCCCATCGCCTGTTGTTTGCCTGCCAGGTAGTCCTGGACGGGGTCCGGGTTAGCTGCAATCGCTTCCAGAACTGCGGTCTGAACTGCGTCAGTGTCGGAAATCTGAACCAAGCCTTCGAACTCAGCAATCTTCCGTGGCGGCAGACCCGTTTCGAACATCTTCTCGAACACCGTCTTCGCCATTGTTGAACTCAGTGTAGAGTCATCGACCATAGTCTGCAGTTCAGCAACCTGGGCGGGCTCAATTCTTACATCCGAGATGTGCTGCCCTGACTGGTTCAGGAGGCGCGCCATCTCCCCTAGCATCCAGTTGCTGATGGCTTTAGCAAACTGGCCGCTTAGGTCAGGACCGCTAGGTGCGGCAGTCAGTACGGCCTCGAAGTAGTCGGCAGTCGACTGAGATGCCGTGAGAAGTCCGGCGTCATACTCAGGAAGCCCAAGTTGATGCACAAATCGATTCTTTCGCGTGTGCGGGAGCTCGGGAATCGAAGCCTGGACCTCGGTTACCCATTCCGGCGAAATCCTGAGTGGGGGCAGATCTGGCTCAGGGAAGTACCGATAATCAGATGCGCCCTCTTTGATGCGTTGGGAGAAGGTCACGGACTCTTCCTCGTCCCAGCCACGCGTCTCCTGGACGATCCGCCTCCCCGACCTTACCACTTCGATCTGGCGCTCGGCCTCGTATTCCAAGGCTCGGAATACCGACCGGTAGCTATTCATATTCTTGATCTCGACCTTGGTGCCGAGCTCGACCTGGCCCACGGGGCGAACGCTGATGTTAGCGTCACAACGGAAGTTGCCTTCTTCCATGTTGGCGCTGCTTGGTGCCTATGTACTGGAGTATGGAATGAAGCTGGACCAGATACGCGCGCGCCTCTTCTGGACTTCTGAGATCTGGCTCGCCTACAACCTCCATAAGCGGGACGCCGGCCCTGTTAACGTCGAGAAGCGAGTATCCCTCCCCGAACTCCTCCGTCCGGTGCATGAGCTTGGCGACGTCCTCTTCGAGATGGACGCGAGTTATTCCAGCGCTGCGTCGTACGCCGTCGACCTCAATGGGCATCGAGCCGTTGGAGGCAATCGGCAGGTCGTACTGGGATATCTGGTATCCCTTCATGAGATCGGGGTAGGGGTAGTTCTTCCTGTCGAATTTTGTGTAGGAGGATATTTCGCAGCCCAGGGCGAGTCCGGTGCGAATCACATGTTCAACTGCCCTGCGGTTGATTACGGGCAACACGCCGGGCATACCCATGCAAACGGGGCAGACTACCGTGTTTGGCTCAGCCTCCTGGTAGTCTGAGCTGCACGCGCAGAACATCTTGCTTTCAGTCGATAGCTGGGCGTGAACCTCCAGCCCAATGACGACCTCAAAATTCATGGCAGAAGCAGGCCTCGGCAAACCTGAACAGTGGGGCTTGAATCAACGTAAAGTATAGGTAACGGCACTGAGGATTGACAACGCTGTGAGAAGTCCTACCCCACTTCCGATTCGGACCAGGCATCACGTCCGATCAGCGGAACGAACCGACACGCCCCAAGCGCTCGAGTTACGACGCCGTCCACGGTCTTTACAATCTTCATTAGACTCTGCTCACGTAGGCTACCGACCGGGATGATTAGTCTGCCCCCGACTTCGAGCTGGCTTATCAGCGTCTGGGGCAGCCCTCGGCGCTGCCGCAGCCACGACGATGGCATCGAACGGAGCATCTTCCGGACGACCAAGAATCCCTCCCGCCTGCTCAATCCGGATGCTGTCGTATCCCAGACGACCCAGCAACTGTCGCGCCGATTCAGCTAGCTCCGGGACTCGCTCGACGGTCACCACCTCCCGCGCCAACTCGCCCAGAATAGCAGCCTGATACCCGCTGCCAGTGCCGATCTCAAGCACTCGGTCGAACCTTCGCAACTCCAACTCCTGGATCATAATAGCGACGATCGTCGGTTGGGAAATTGTCTGGCCCCCAGCGATTCCGAGCGCGATGTCATCGTACGCCACGTGCCGGTCTGCCGCCCGCACGAACCGCTCCCTCGGTACCGAGGCCATCGCGTCCAGGACCCGCTGGTCAGATATTACTCCAGACAGCGTCCGAAGGAGCCTATCCCTTGCTCGCTCGACTGGCATGTACGTAACGGATCCCTTTCGCGACGATCGTATTGCAATTCACCTGACACCTTACCAGAACTGAGTCCACCCAAGCCTGAACCCTCCTCAGGAACACCGGTACCCTGATGCGGTAAACTAAGTTGTATTACGTGAAAGGTCGAACCGGAGGATTCCGTTGCCGAGATATTACCCGGCCTTCATCGACGTCCGAGGTCGCAGATGCGTGGTTATTGGCGGTGGCGCGTTGGGAGAGGAAAAAGTAGTCAAGCTGCTGGAATGCGACGCTCGTGTAATAGTTATTGCGCCAGAAGTTACGTCAGTGGTCAAGGGTCTGGCCGCTAAAGGTAAGGTCGAGTGGCTCATGCGTCAGTATCGGAGTGGAGACCTTGCCCAGGCATTCATTGCCATAGCATCCACCGAAGACGATGAAATAGACCGCCAGATATACGGCGAGGCGGAAGAGCGTAACGTGCTGCTCAACGTTGTAGACGTGACCCATCTCTGCACGTTCATCGCTCCCTCTGTGGCGCGACGAGGTGAAGTGACTGTTGCAACATCCACCGGTGGAGCAAGTCCGGCACTCGCGAGGACTTTCCGGGAGAAGCTGGAGTCCAGCAGGATTCTGGAGTACGCTGACCTGGCACCTGTACTGGCACGCGGGCGGGCTGAGCTGCGTCAGAGAAAGTTGAGAGTCGCGCCGGACCATTGGCAGAGTTGCATCACTGAGGAACTGCTGGATCTCGTGCAGAGGGGGGATGAGACGACAGCCTACAAGATGCTGATTGACGGGCTGGTTGCTGAATCGGAGCCGATAGGGTCCATGAGCGAACCGCGTCATCAGGATCGGTACGCGAGGAAGTGCCCTCGCCATTGCACAGTCCGAGGAGTCGTTGCCAGCCTCAGGGCCGCATGGCCGCAGATCCAGATCGAAGTCATCCCAATCATGCCCGACGGCGATCGGCGGAAAACAGCGCCGCTTCAGGCCCTCGGCAGGGGTACTTTTGTAAAGGTCTGGAGGAGCCGCTACTGAAGGGCGAGATCGACCTAGCGGTCCACTCCGCCAAGGACATGCCGTCCACACTCCCTGGGGGGCTGGCTATTGTCGCTTATCCAGAGCGCAAGGACCCCAGAGACGTGATTGTCAACAGGTGGCACGCACGATTCGAAGATCTACCATCCGGGCGAAGCTCGGCACCAGCGGCCCACGACGCGCGGGTCAGCTTCTCTCCGCCCGACCAGATATCAATATCGTACCAATTCGCGGAAATGTGGATACACGTCTTGGCAAGGTCGGCGAGGACGCATACGACGGCGTGGTACTGGCGTCTGCCGGCCTGGAACGGCTCGGGCGGGGGGGCGAGATCTCAGATCTGTTGGACCCCGACCTGTGCGTGCCCGACGCGGGCAGGCGCTATCGCAGTGGAGGCCCGAGAGGACGATTCCGAAATCGCTGGTCTGCTTACACCCCTCAATCACGCTTCTACATGGTCCACAGTGACCGCGGAGCGGGCGTTTGTAGACGCCACCGGTGGGGGATGTCGTGTGCCGGTTGCAGCCTACGCGATAGAGTCCGAAGGCGTTCTGGAGATTCGTACCATGGCGTGCCTGCCGGACGGCTCGCGATTATTCAGATCCGTCCTGGAGGCCCCATTTGACGACCCTATCGCCGCCGGTCGTGCTGCGGCGAAGGCACTCGAAGCTACAGGCGCGGACGAGATTATGTACGCAGAGCGAATCGGTTAAGGCCTTCTTTCCGCAATGAACGAAGTCGCGGATTGCCCCGAGAGCGAGGTAGAAGAAGACTTGAGCAACGTCGAGAAGGTCTCACTTGTGGGCGCCGGACCAGGGGAGCCAGAGCTTCTGACGGTCAAGGGCCTGAGGCTTCTTGAAACGGCCGACGTGATTGTACATGACCGCCTGATCAACAATCGGCTGCTCGCCATGGCCAGACCTGATGCCGAGGTTGTAGATGTCGGCAAGATCCCCGGCGGCGGAAGAAGACAGTCGGACATCAACAATTTCCTGATCAGCACAGCCCGCCAGGGCAAGCGTGTAGTCAGGCTGAAGGGCGGAGATCCGTTCGTTTTCGGCAGGGGCGGCGAAGAGGCTGACGCGCTAGTCGCTGCCGGAGTCCCATTCGAGGTGGTCCCGGGAGTTACATCGGCTGTGGCGGCGCCCGCCTACGCGGGGATACCACTCACGCACAGAGAGCATGCATCATCCTTTACGGTCGTCACGGGAAGTCTCTCGGGTAAAGGTGGCGGCAACTCGCCCGACTGGGAAACACTCGCAAAGACGCCCGGCACACTTGTGATTCTCATGGGGTGGAGAAATCTGTCGGATATCGCCGCGAAACTTATCGCCAACGGGCGATCGGGGGCGACACCCTCTGCGGTCGTGAGTTGGGGCAGCGAGCCGTGGCAGATGACGGCGACGGGCCGCCTGGACTCAATCGCGGACATCGCTAAGTCCCAGGGACTGGAAGCTCCGGCAACGGTTGTGGTCGGAGACGTTGTCAGGCTCCGGGAACGGCTCAATTGGTTCGAATCGCTGCCCCTCCTGGGCCGCCGAGTGCTGGTGACCCGCACGCGGAACCAAGCGGGGCTACTGTCTCGACACCTGGGAGAGCTAGGAGCAACTCCAATTGAGATTCCTACAATTGACGTTCGACCTCCACATGACTACTCGAAACTGGATGAAGCGCTCGCGGAAGTGTCGGAGTTCGACTGGATAGTCTTCGCCTCCGCAAATGCGGTTCGAGCCGTGTACGATCGCCTCGTAGCGACGGGCCGTGACTCGAGATCGCTGCATGGAGTCAGCGTGGCCACAATAGGCCCGGCGACCGCTGACGCAATAGTGAGCTTGGAATCGTTGCCGATCTAGTGCCTGCGACTGCGACATCTGTAGGTTTGACGGATGCACTGTCGAAAGAGGATATCCATAGCAGCGGTTTGCTCCCCGGCTGAATCGCGACACGCGAACTGCTGGAGAGATTAGTCGCGTTGGGCGCGGACGTTACACAAGTTACAGCCTACCGGACCGTGATACCTGCAGAATCCAGAGACCGAGTGGCAGAGGCTATCCAAGCCGGTATTGACGTGGCTACATTCACTAGCTCGTCGACGGTTAGAAACCTGTTGGGATTACTTGAAAATGAAGCCGACTCTCTCGCAGGCGCCAAGATAGCCTGCATCGGTCCGACAACTGCGTCGACTGCTGGCAGTTTCGGATTGAAAGTTGATATAGTTGCCAAGACTCCAACGATCGCTGGGCTGGTTGAGGCCCTGATCGAACACATTGACATGAGGAAGTAAGACGGCAATGGCGGGATACCCCACAACAAGGATGCGAAGGCTGCGGGAGAATCCCGGTCTCAGACGTCTGGTGGAAGAGACACGTCTCTCGGCATCGGACTTCACCTACCCGCTCTTCGTGACTCACGGGCGCGACACTCGCACGGAAATCCCCCCGATGCCAGGAATCTATCAGCTGTCCCTGGACCACCTGATTCATGAGGTAGGCGAAGCTGCCGACGTGGGTGTCGAGAGAGCGTACTGCTGTTCGGTATTCCGGCTCACAAGGACGCAAACAGGTCAGAAGCGTACGCCAGGGCGGATATCCAGGAGGCGATCGGGTAAGTAGTAATCAGCAGGCCGTCCCCGGCATGACTGTCATCACGGGAGTGTATGCCTGTGCGAGTCAGTTCACCGACACGGCACTGCGGCGACGTAGTCGACGAGTGAGCGAATAGACAACGACGCCACCCTGGAGCTACTTGCACAGATGGCCGTAGTCCAGGCAGAGGCCGGAGCTGACATGGTCGCTCCATCGGCAATGATGGACGGTCAAGTGGCAGCTATCAGGAGTGCGCTGGATGATGCCGACTTGCCAGACATCCCGATAATGGCATACTCGGCCAAGTACGCCTCAGGTTACTACGGCCCGTTCCGGGTCGCCGCCGATTCTGCTCCGAAGTTTGGGAACCGCGCCAGTTACCAAATGGACCCGCCCAACATCCGGGAGGCGATGCGAGAGATCGCCCTGGACATCGAAGAAGGGGCGGACATGGTAATGGTGAAGCCCGCTCTGGCCTACCTCGATGTGCTGAGGGCCGCCAAAGAGCGCTTCGCGACACCGATCGCCGCTTACAACGTGAGCGGAGAGTATTCAATGGTGAAGGCGGCGGCCGAGAACGAGTGGATAGACGGCAGGCGTATCACTCTCGAGATACTGACCTCGATAAAGCGCGCGGGCGCAGACGTCATCCTGTCCTATCACGCCAAGGAAGTCGCCGGCTGGCTGAGTTCAGACCTACCCTGACACGGCGGGAGAGTTATGCCAACGTACATTCTTCTTCTTTCCCTGACACCCGAAGGGCGTCATCGCCTGCTCGACAATCCTGACCGCATCCTGATGGCCGAGGAATCCATAGATATCCCACAGACGCAGGTGCATGGACTGTATGCGGTGCTGGGAGAATTCGACTTCGTCACCATACTGGACGCCCCGAATAACGAGTCGGCTGCGCGGTTTTCGATGGAGCTTGGTGTAACCGCTGGGGTCCAGATCACGACGCTTCCGGCAATCCCCATCGGCAGATTGCAGCAGGCACTAGGCGAACGGGAACCCGAAATGGACTTCGCTGGATCACCTGGACCAGGCGACCTCGAACCTGGTGACAGCGACTAGCGTATCCGAAAGAGCTTACCTCGACCTGGCGGCCATAGTCTCGCGATAGCGACTCCTACCAGAGATTGCATCGGAACAGGCCCGAAGTCCCTGCTGTCGGTGCTGTGCGCACGGTTGTCTCCCAGCACAATGAATTCGTCAGAACCCACTAGCCAAGACCGAGATCCGGTTCCGAGGTCTGCTGGTAGTCCCGCCAGGTATGGCTCTGGACGGTGTGTGCCGTTGATGAACAGGAGACCGCACTCAAACGAGACCATTTCGTCTGGCAACCCTACGACCCGTTTGACTTGCCACTCTACGTCGATGCGGCCTTCTGTACTGACGACGACAAAGTCGCCACAGCGTGGTTTTCGTCGGACTCTTCTGACCAAAAGCACGTCGCCATCGAACAGCGACGGCTCCATGCTGGACCCTCTTACGACGTACAGCACACCACATCCTCCTCCGTCAGGCTAATGGTAAAAGATATCACAGCCCTGCCTGAAGGGATCGAAGATAGATCAGTACGGGTGAATGGGGACGTCATCCCCTATCTATCTGCCGGCGATTTCGGGCCCTGGGTCATTATGATTCACGGCGCAGGAGGTACCAGGAGGGAGTGGGTAGAAAGTATGGGCACCCTGGCGTCGGGCCATCGCGTGGTCGCACCAGACCTGATCGGCTTTGGCGACTCTCCCAGGCGTGACATCGTTCACTCGACCAAGTACTTAGGGGCATTCCTAACTTCTTTCCTCCGGGAAGTCGGCATCGAACGAGCTACTCTGGTAGGTCACTCACTTGGGGGACGAGTCTGTCTCGAAGTAGCCCTGCACGAACCAGTGGCGGTCGCTGGCTTGATACTCATAGTCCCTATGGGCTTTGGAAAGCTGTCCATGATAGGCAGACTGCTAAGCACGGGCGCATGGTGGGTGAATCACATTCTGAGACGAAGTCAGCCCTTTCCAAAGCTGGAAGTCCGCCTGGAAGAGCCTGACCTGGCCATCTTCGCCGGTGTCAGGTGCGACACCCTCCTGATCTGGGGCAGTAGGGACATATACTTCCCGGTTGCCCACTCCGCACGGGCGCTGGAGGCCATCCCTAACTCCAGTCTGACCGTGTATGAGGGTGGCGGGCATGCGGTCCACCTTTCTCACCTTAAGCAGTTCATGTCGAGCGTAGAGGCCTTCGTTGCCACGCGCGAGTGATCCTGCGTCTCAGGGTTGCGCGCCTACCTGTATTTCTGTATCTTCATACCGAAACCATGAGGCAAGCAAGACTGCCAAGATAAGAAAGGAGAAACGCAGGCTATGACATTTACGTCTGCTTTGAGAAGACTTTGGGGGATGCGCGAGGCTAGCGCGCACTGCGACATCCCTTGCGGTATCTACGACCCTATTTCAGCGAAGATCGCCGCCCAAACCGTACAGAAGATGGTGCTTCGCATCGGGCAACTAGAGGGTGACGACGTCGCCTCCCAGAACTCGCTGTCCCGCTACATCACCGTCAAGGAAGAGCATGCTGAGCTGTGCAAGCACGAGCTCCGCGTACTTTGGGCCGACTACACATGGCCAGGCACCGATGCCAACGAGATCGCGGCCAAGTTCAACGCGGCCCTGAAGCTGGCCGGACAGTGTAAGCAGACCGTTAGCATGGACAACGCCGAGGCACTGGTCGCAGCGGTGGACGATATCGCCTCCACTTTCTGGGGCACCAAGGGCGTAGAATACAGCGACCCCGTCGCCGAGGCCCGATACGGCGCATAGGCTGCTGTCCTAACGGGATCTGAGTCTCCTTAGAAAACCGGAAGGGGCGTTCAGTCGAACGCCCCTTCTGTTTCTCGCGACGAAAGCAAGCGTTTCAGTCCATGTAATCCTCACGCGGAGGACTGAATATGTCCAGCGCCTTCGATGGCTGATCCGTAGCCACGAGGCCATGCTCTACGCCGCCTGGAATGATGTAAGTATCGCCCTGCTTCACCCTCGTGGTCACGCCGCCGATGGTGAAGTCGAACTCTCCCTCCAGCACCATGCCGGCCTGCTCGTGCGGATGCTCGTGCATCGGCACCTCGGAATTGGCATCAATCTCGACAACGCTCAGCATGATCTTCTTACCCCATATTGTTCTGAGAAACACTCCTGGGGCAAGTTCTCTAAGTTTCACTTCATTCGGATCGTAGGTATAAGTCAACTCGGCTCCTCCGAGAGTTACTTGGATATAGAAGTCAGGGTCTGTCGAACTGGGCTACACACCAGCCAGTGCGCGCTTGTGCTGCGGAATGAGGCAGGCAGTGATGAAGTCGTTGATCGGCGTCGGCACCCCAAGCTCGTGGCCCAATTCCGACACCTTGCCATTCAGGTTGCCGAATTCCATCGGCCTGCCAGCGGTCAGATCAGCGTGCATCGAGGATATCAGATGATCGCCTTCTGCGACGAAGATCTCCATAGTCGTCTCAGCGAGGTCTGGCGCGAGATTGACTCCCGCCGCTTTGCCGACGGCAGTGGCCTCGCACAGGACGCCCAACGTCATTGCCCGTGTCTCGGGGGAGTCCATCACCTCAGCGAATGACGAATGAGTGATACATGTCATCCCACTCAGGCCGCAGATGTAGACCAGCTTATTCCAAAGCGCCTGCTCTATGTCCTCAGCGATCTCCGAGTCGATCCCAGCGTCGTCGAAGGTCTGCTTGACCTCCGTGCTACGCCTGGAAGAACGGCCGTCCTGCTCTGCGAAAACGATGCGGCACGCTCCGCCCATCTCCTGAAACAGGCCCGGCCTGGGATGGGCGGCCTCAACGTAGGTGGCACCCAGCATTACACCCTGCGCGCCGAAAGTTGCCGACAACTCATCACCGCTGCCAATGCCATTCTGGAGCGTGAGTACGGTCGTATCAGGACCGACCGCGGATGAGACCGTATCGATCGCGACGCTGTTGTGGTAGCTTTTGACGCAGAAAAGGACGAGGTCGGCAGTCCAGGGGCCGTCCGGGCGGTCCACGGCTCTCGCTTCCACCGTGAAGTCTCCAGACGTCACACTTTCAACTATCAGGCCCTCACTGGCTATAGCGGCCAGATTCTCCCCTCTTGCTACGAACAGGACGTCGTTTCCCGCCTTGGCGAGGAGACCACCGAAGTAGCCTCCGACCGAGCCGGCGGCCATCACGAGGACATTCATGTGCCGCTCACTCCTGCCCTTTCAGTTCGACTAGGACATTCACATATCGCGTATCGGAATTGTTCACGACGCGGTGAATCTTGTGCTCATCATGATACCTCCAGGTACCGGGACCTGAAGGACTGTCGTCGGAAGTACCGTCGTCGTATTCGACTGTGAGCCCAGCGCCTTCGACGACGATCGTCACGTAATCTCGCCTGTGCATATGCCAGTCGCTTGACTCACCTGGATCTACGACCAGGTTCCATATCTTTACCGCGTCGTTCTCGAACAGAACGTCGGTGGCTATTTCGCCGAGTGGTGCATCGCCTCTAGGCATGGTGGGGTCCTCCTCTTAGTGATCAGTCCTGCTTAATCTCGACTATCGAGTTACTGTAGAGCTCGTCCCCGACGTTGGTGACTCTGTGGATCGATCCACATTGACCCTGTACGATTTCGCCGAGGGTGTAGTCCCGTTCCGACGACGTTCCATCGTCGTATTCAGCCTTGAGCCTGCCGGGGCGGGTCACGATGAACACATACGGCCTCGCGTGCTGATGCCAGTCGCTCGACTGACCAGGCACCAGCACGAGATCCCACGTCTTGACGTGCTCGTCCTCCCATTGCATCTCGGTACCGACATCCCCGAGTTGTCGCTCGCTCATTCTAACCTCCAATGTGTATCAGAATCCTAGACTTCTCGACTTCATGCTTACTACATCGGGCGACCCACCACAATGTGGTCAAGCAGGTCGATGTCCATGAGCTCCGCGCTCTGGTTCAATCGTCTTGTGACGAGGATATCCTCGGGCTGGGAGTCGGGTCACCCGACGGATGATTGTGGACAACCAAGATGGCCGGGCAGTTCCGCCTGATCGCGGGACGAAGTATCTCTGCGACTCTTATGGACGCAGAGTTGACCGTACCCTGATAGACAGTATCCACACCAACTACGTGGTGCTTGTTGTTCAGCAGAACCACCCTCAGTTGCTCCTGATCAAGGCCGCCATCTCTGCTCCAACCAGATTCCTCACGTCCTCGGCGCAGGTGATTATCGAACGAGCGTCGGGAACCATGCTTGCGGTGCGTCGGCCAAGCTCAATTGCCGCCAATACCTGGCTGGCCTTGGCTGGACCGATGCCGTGAAATTGGCATATCTCCTCCAGATTCGTCTTTGATAGCCCCTCTAGCCCATGCAGTTCTGCCAGTATCCTGCTCGACAGCGCAAGGACGTTCTCGCCTCTGGTGCCATCGCGAAGCAGGATCGCGATAAGTTCGCCATTCGATAGACTTCCAGGCCCACTGTCCCGGAGCCGTTCGCGCGGCTTCTCTTCAGAGGGCATATCGTGAATTGTTGGAGTATAGCTGGGCTTGCTCTGTTCGCTCATGAATTCAATGAATCTCTGGGCAACTACGATTGTACAACGAAATTCGTACACAATACGCTTGGTCAGGCCTACTTTGCAGAATGTAGCACACGTGTTCCAAAGCAGTCAACTCCTTCTGGGGCCGATTTCGTCCATCTGGCTAGGACCGGGTTGACAGGTGACCGTGGGCCCATACAATTGACGCGACTCAATTAATTGCAGACCATGAGCAGGGGCATTCAATGATCAAACGTGACAGGATAGTGGAGACATTCTGCGAGCTTGCCAGGATCGACAGTCCATCGGGCGAGGAAGAGGCAATGGCGCAGCACCTTGTCGCCAGGCTTGAAGGACTGGGTTTCAACGTAGTTCGTGACGACTACGGGAACGTGGTCGGCAGTGACGGAGGTGACGATCCCATCATTCTCTCCGCACATATGGACACGGTGGAGCCGGGACGCGGTATTCAGCCATCTGTTGACGGAGAGCGTATCGTCTCGGACGGCACCACGATTCTGGGAGGCGACTGCAAAGCGGGAGTTGCCGCGATTATCGAGGCGCTCGAATCGATCAAGGAAGACGGTGTCCCCCGCAACCCCGTCGAGGTTGCGTTTACCCGCGAAGAAGAGATCGGTCTTGTCGGGGCGCGCAACTTGGACTTCTCCTTGCTCAGCGGCAAAGAGGCAATCGTATTCGACGGGGGAAGGGCCGCCCAGTCAGATTACATCGTCCAGTCCGGAGTACATCGGATTTGACATCGAGATCACCGGTCGCGCCGCCCACGCTGGCGTAGAGCCCGAGAAGGGGCTCTCGGCAATACGCATCGCCGCCGAGATAATCACCCGACTGCCACAGGGCAGACTCGACGACGAGACTACGTTCAACGTCGGGACGATCGAAGGCGGCACCGTGCGCAACGCCGTCCCGGAGACGACGACGGTAAACGGCGAATTCCGCAGCCGAAACATCGAGTCGCTCGACGGCATACGCATTCAGGTGGGCGAAGCAGTGGAACAGGTTAGGACGATGTACCCGGAGGCGGTGATCGACTGCCACCTGCATACTGAGTTCGTAGCGTACACACTGGAAGAGGACGATCCAGCGACGATTCGAGTCAAGGCCGCTCTGGAGTCTCTGGGACTGACACCGACGATGCAGCCGTCAGGAGGCGGTACGGACGGGAACGTGTTCAGGCTGAACGAAATAAGCGCAGTCGTGGTCGGCATGGCCGATCACGGTATGCACACGGTCCGCGAGTACGTGACGATTCCCGACCTGGTTGACGCGGCGCACCTCTGTGAGACTCTGCTGCGTCGGGACGTGATAGACTATGTCGGCAACCTATCTCGGGCACTCCGCTTTTCTGTTCGAGGATGCGTCTGGAGAACGGGTGCTGATCGACCCGTTCGGTAACGACGAGGACAACTACTGGTTTCTCACGACGTTCCCCTCGTTAGAGGTCGATCTGGTAGCCGTGACTCATGACCACTTCGACCACAACGCAGTTGAAGCGCTGCCAGACGACACACCCATGATGACGCACGCAGGGGAACTCCTTGTCGGAAACACGACTGTAACAGGCGTTGGTGATCTGCACTCCGGGGCATCAGGCAGAGCTGGCATGACCAACGTGATCTTCATCATCGAGCATGAGGGAGTCAGATACTGCCATGTGGGAGACAACAGGCATGACCTCCCCGACGAAACGGTCCGGCAGTTGGGAAAAGTGGACGTGCTAATGACGCCTGTCGACGACTCGTGCCATCTGCTGACCTTTGATGAGGTCGACGCGCTAGTGGAGGCACTCAACCCCAAGGTCGTTATACCGATGCACTACTACATCGAGGGTCTGACTACCCGTGAATCGACGCTTGGAGGTCCAGAAGGGTGGGTGAGGAAGCAGTCACCCCGCCGCACGCTGAGAAAGTCGCGAATGCGGATTGACAGGCGAGGGCTGCCGTACGAGCGTGAAGTTTGGACCGTCAAAGCTGAGTTGGCACGTTGAAGGTAAGGCTAGCGTACGGCAGGAGCGGACTGGTCATAGATGTCCCGGAGGATCGCACGACGGTAGTACAGCCTCAGTATCTTCCAGGTCTGCCGGACCAGTACGGCGCTATCAGGACGGCACGTCCGGGATCCGGTGGGAGGGGCGACTTCGCTCAGAAGGATCGCGGGACCGTCCGATATCGTCGCCATCTCAGTCTGCGACATCACCAGACCGATGCCTACCAGCACCGTCTTGCCTGTCGTACTGGAAGAGTTGAGGCATGTTCCCGATGAGAACATCGTCATTCTTATTGCAACCGGCACACACAGGCCCAACTCCTATGGCGAACTCCGCGACATGCTTGGAGCGCAGATCGTCGACCGATTCACGGTCGTCAATCATGACGCCTTCGATACGACTGGGGTTGTACACCTCGGAGACACACCCGGAGGCATTCCGATCCTGCTCAACCAGATGTGGGCGGAGGCTGACGTCAGGCTGACGCTGGGATTCGTGGAGCCCCACTTCTTTGCGGGCTTCTCCGGCGGGCCCAAGATGGTCGCGCCTGGACTCGCCGCATTCCAGACAACCATGATGCTTCACAACGCCGAGATGATCGGACATCCTAACGCAACGTGGGGTGTTACGGTCGGCAACCCAATTCACGACTCAATTAGGGAGATTGCGGCCCAGACGGGAGTGGACTTTTCGGTGGAGGTCACGCTGAACCGGGACCACCAGATCACCAGCGTCTATGCCGGAGAGCCTGAAACGGCGCATCGGGCGGCCAGCCGATTCGCCAAGTCAGTTGCAATGCAACCGGTAGAAGAGCCATACGACGTGGTCGTGACGACCAACAGCGGATACCCGCTCGACATGAACCTGTACCAGGCGGTAAAAGGGATGTCGGCGGCGGCCCAAGTCGTCAAGCGTGGCGGGACTATTATCTGTGCGGCCGAGTGCTCCGATGGAGTACCCGAGCACGGCGAGTACAGCAGGCTGTTGAAGTCGAGGAACAGTCCGGGGGAGCTTCTGGACATGATCTGCGCGGCCGGCCACAACGTACATGACCAGTGGCAGGTGCAGATACAAGCCCAGATTCAGTTGAAGGCGAATGTCCTGGTCAAGACTGAATCCCTGACCTATGACGAAGTTCGGGAGGCGCACCTAGAGCCTGTGGACGACGTCGAGCGCGCCATGCGCGATGCGCTTGAGGCAGCGGGGCCTAATGCACGACTATGTGTGATCCCGGAGGGACCTCAGACGATTCCGTATCTGAGGCACTACTGATACCAAGCCGCTGATCGATCACTTACGAGGCAATCATGCCAGTCTCCTTGCTTACCAGTGAAAGTGCGGCGGACTGTGGTATGCCCGCCGCACTTGTGACCGAAATCAGCTAGCTAAGCCGCACCTTATACAGGGCGCAGTCTAGAAACGCGTAGACATCTTGGCGTGGACTGGGCACCTCAACTTTGGTCCAGCCCTTAATACGACTGGCCTTAAGGCCGTGATCACTCACAAAGTCGCACATGGCTCTGTCCACTTCTGCTGTGCCGCATGGCATTGGTTCGATAATCCGACCTGGTCGGCCACTGGATGGGATAATTCGCCTTAACCTCCTTCTCGTTCTCCCTCACATTCCTGTGATTGAAAACGACAATGTCGCCATCGGGATAGATGGTAGAGCCGACTTGGGTGTTAACTAGCTCAGTAGCGCCTTGACGGTTATACACGTTCCAGTGCAGTTCAGCGATGCAGCTTGTGCATCCGATCTGTGGGTTTAACTAGCCTCAGACTACCGCTTCTAGACGTCCCATCTTTACCATGTCTTCAGCTTCTCGCTGTGAATGCATCAATTTCCTTCGTTGCCAACGCTGTATTGATGTAAGCGGCGGAGGCGTAAAGTGTGGGAAGATCTTGGTTCAGGCTGGAGCATGTCGGCTGCGTGGACCGGCGCGCGTCGATTTTTTCGATTCCGCTGAACACACCTTCTTTTTTCTTTGTGGCCCGGCACAGCACCATCCACAGCTGGCCAATGTATCGCCACCTGTTGCGGGCCAGCGTCCTGATTACTAGACCTGGTGAACGCACTGAACGCATCCCTCCGCGGGCCATTTGCGTTCGCGAGCAGGTGCGACACCTTGCGCGCTACCCCGCCACCCGCGCAGCGCTCGATCTCAGCACGGTGTGGTCCGGGCTCTATGCCTGTGCATCATCTCAGAACGCCGCAGTCCAGGTCTTCGCCACGTCATCGTGCCATGAACCAAGTCTCGTTCTGAAGCCTCCCGTATGTCCCTTGTTTCCCGAGCAGCATCGGGCGGTCTCGGCAGATGATCAGCTCACCGGTCTCGTCTCAACGCAGATCCGTCTCCGCAACAAGTCCGACGCCTCTCCCGACGATAATGACTGCCTCAGTTCATCGCTCTCTGAGCATGGCCGCTCAGCTGCTTGCCGAAGCTGCGTCCTCTACCCCTCTTGGGTCTGGACACCTCACTGATCGAGCTGGGCAGCAGCAGCGTTGTGCCAGACATTCGTTCTGTCTGTTTCACGCCGACAGAGCTCTGAGCATCGTAGCGCTCCGGCCCCGAGTCCGTCCCATCACTCCTCCTAGAGTCGACGGCATCCACCTCTCTGCCTCTTCGTTGCTGGTGACGAGCACGCCCCTGGTAGCACCGTGTGCATCTTCGGTCTCGACCGCCATCAGGAAGGCGCCCTCACCGCCCACTCGCCATCAGTGTCGTCGGTGTGGACGACCCGCCTCGCACGCCACGACACTCTCCGAGCCTCTGTACGCATCTCCCACAGCGCCCTGGGCTCGGCGCAGTGCGTCCTGGGTGATCGCAACCCACCCTGGCTCAGCTCCACACCGCGTCAGCGCCCTCATCAGCACAGACGCACCCTACGAACCGGTATGGCCCACTCCGTAGTGCAGTACGTGCGCGCGCAGCATCACTCTTGCTACCCACTACGGTGCGCACGACGTGACTATGTCTCCCTCGTACTGGTCCGCACCAACCTTTACAGGCGTGGCGTCCTCGTACCCGTTCTGCCGCAGCCGACGACACCGAACACACCTGCACCCGGTATGCTGTCTACCCTGCGTCTGGCATCGCGGGGATGTCGGTCACGGAGACACATCCCTCCCTCCTGCTCGAAGCACTCATCTACATGCGGGACTAGTTGTCGTCGGCACCGACACAGCCACTGGCGGCTCGGTGACCTCATCTGAGACGGCGGCATTGCGGTAGCTGAACGATTTCTGGCCGGTCTTTCGCCGGGCGTTTGGTGCTCTGTGGTCGCCACCCTTGAGACGGGCTGCCTGGCGCCTTTTCCCGCTCGCATTGGCCGCGGCGAGTGTCCTTACGCAACTCTTTGATCGTCGGCCGTCAGACGCGCAACCTGATCTTGCTGTCGGCTGACCAAGGCGATCAGCTCGTGTTTGACAGGAAGAGAGGTTCTTACACATCGATGCACATAGCAGAGTCTTTACTAACGACCTGCACATAGCAAGCGTATAAAAACCTGACCTGATATCGCAAACATCCCACTCCGACCTTCCCCGCTAATCATTACACCGTTGCTCTGGGAGATCTCTCCGCATGTTAGGTGCCCTGTCTTCGGCGTGTCACGAAACGATTATTCCATCGGTGGTTTAGTATAGCGAGCTTTGATTTCCACTACCGTGACTATCTCGGAGTCATATCCTCCGCACATCATGTCGCTACTTGGGATTCTTCTGGCGCCATCACATCATAGAGACATCTTCGCCTCTGCGTTTGCGCTTGTCAAGAAAGCCCTTAAATTGATCTTGGATCGTCCGCTCTTGGGTCCCATGGGTTGCTATTGCAAGCTGCTCCTACAGCACTTGCAGACCGTCCAGCCCACGATCAGATTCGCATAGTGTCCTTGGTACTATCTTTCGATGTCTCTCTCAGTTGTCTTCGCCATCAGTTCCCTCCATTGGGTGCAATTCATCACCGAAAATCGAGATCCATGTCTCCCAAGATCGGGAGACGCCTCCTGTTGATGCGAATACATTTCGCCAACAGTCCGTGCGTTTGGGAAATTAATCGCCTGATATCATGCGTCACTCCCGCTTTCCATGTGTTCTCTGACTATACTGGCTAAGGACAGCAAATAGGCCGCGACTCACAATTCGCTGCGCGGGCCTTTGGGTTCAGCATATAGAGCTAGGTCGATAGGTAGCTGCGACTTCGACGGCTCCTGCGCCCTCGAGCTTCTCCTTGAGGGAATCGGCTTCGTCTCTTGGAATGGCTTCCCTGATCGCGGTGGGCGCGCCCTCTACCAGGTCCTTCGCCTCTTTGAGTGAGTCCGAGCGTCGTAACTTCGCGGACGGCCTTGATGACCTGAATCTTATTGGGCCCAATCTCTTTGAGGGTGACGTTGAACTCGGTCTGCTCTTCGACTTCGGCTGCGGCTTCCGCGGTTCCGGCAACACCTGCAACGGTGGCCATTTGGATCGGGGCCGCCGCGCTGACACCGAATTCGTCTTCGAGGGCCTTGACCAAGTCTGCCAGTTCCAACACCGACAGTCCCTTGATTTCGTCTATCAGCTCATCCTTAGTTAGCGGCATTGTAGTTCACCTCCATGTGGGCTGCCATTCTTCGTATACGTCGACGGTTGATGTTATGCCTCTTGCTCCTGCAGATTGTCAATCCGACCCTGGAGGACTCTGGCAGTCCGGCGATCGGGCCATTCAGCACATTGACCAACCCGCTGATGGGACCATTCATTCTCATAAGCAACGTCGCGACAAGCTCGTCCCGGGTAGGCAAGGAAGCTAGACGTTCAACGTCGGCACCGGATAGGCGCGGCCATCCATCTCACTTCCCAGGATCGTCAGGGCCGACCGGGTGGAGCGAATGAACCCGCTCAGGGCCTTCGCAGGCTCCGTAGGCTCTCCATAGCCGAAGGCAACGCCGGTTGGTCCATCTATGACAATCCTGTTTACCGCAGGCGCTGCCCGCTCATCCGCGGCCAGACTGCGAAGGGCGTACTCTCGATTTATGACGCGATACTCGACTCCGGCCTCGCGGAGCGCGCGCCTCAATTCCGTCATTTCATCCACCGGAAGACCGGAGTAGTTGGTTGTGATGACGATTGTGCTCTTTTGGAATTTCTCGGCGAGTTTGTTTACCGCATCGACTTTGGCTTGCGTCGGCACTTCGGAACTGCCCCCTATCAAAATACAAATGCCCTGAGCCAGATGCACAGGGCACATACGTCAATCGAATTCGTTCGAATGCTTTATCGTGCGGCCTCGGCGGGCTGGAATCTTCGTCCCTCGGGGGAACCCGCTGTCTCTGGCGATTGAGTCTATTCTATACGAAGGTCAGACAGTCTATCAACGTCCATGGGTACGCTCGGCCCCATAGTAGCAGTGAGGTACGCCGCCCGGATGTACTGTCCTTTCACGCCGCTGGGCCTTGCACGTATTATGTTGTCGACTAGGGTCACGAGATTGTCCATCAGCCTGTCGTCATCAAAACTGGCCTTGCCAATCGGCACATGTATCAGGCCTGTTCTGTCGAGACGGAACTCCACCCTGCCCTTCTTTGCGTCTGAGATGGACTGCGGGATGCCGTCCTGCTGCACCACCGTCCCGATCCTGGGATTGGGCATCAAGCCTCGGCGACCGAGGATTCGGCCGAGTCGGCCGACACGGCCCATCATATCAGGCGTCGCGATGGAAACGTCAAAACCCAAGAAACCGTTTTCGATCTCGCGGATCAACTCGTCGCTGCCGACGTAGTCCGCACCGGCATCTCGAGCGATGGTCTCAGCCTCGCCCTGGCAGAACACCAGTACTCGCACAGGCTTGCCGACTCCATGAGGCAGAACGGCAACACCGCGCACCATCTGATCAGCATAGCGAGGGTCGGCTCCGGTACGGAGATGCAACTCTATGGTCTCATCGAACTTAGCATTGGCCGTCTGTTTGGTTAACTCGATGGCTTCCGGTGGAGCGTACCTCGCCTCCTGATCCAACAGTCCGACCGCCTCGTTATATCGCTTTCCTCTAGTTGCCATGTGCATAGCGTCCTTGTTCGTAGTTCAGGATATGCGGGAGAGTCGCGTGTCAGCTGACCCTGAGGCCCATGCTGCGGGCAGTTCCCTCGATGATCCGCATGGCTCCTTCAATGTCAGCAGCGTTGAGGTCACCGATTTTGATCTCCGCTATCCTCCCTTAACTGTCGCGCATCTGGTGATCCGTGACACGACAAGGCTCGGCCGCTGGGATTTTGCCACTTTGGCCCCGTTTTTTCGACCCTGGCGGCCTTCCGGAGCAGTTCCGACGCCGGCGGGCTCTTGGTCACAAAAGTGAAGGACCGATCCTCGAAGACCGTCAATTCGACCGGAACTATCGTCCCAGCGTTTTGGGAGGTTCGCTCGTTGTACTCCTTGACGAACGCCATGATATTGACGCCGTGCTGTCCGAGCGCGGGACCCACCGGAGGCGCAGGGCTTGCCTTGGGCCACCGTGAGTTCGATAACTGGTAGCTTAATGAGTGCCGCGTACTTCTGGCCATGTCTATCTGAAGAGTGTAGTGTTATGGAAGAAGCAAAGGTGCTAGGCGCGTTCGACCTGCAGGAAGTCCAACTCGACGGGTGTCTCGCGTCCGAAGAATGAGACAAGCACTTTGACCTTCGCCCGTTCTTGGGAAACCTCATCAACTGTGCCCATGAAGTCCACGAACGGGCCGTCCGTGATGCGGACACTCTGTCCTTTTTCAAGGCCGATTCGAGGCCTCGGTGTGTCCGTCTCGATCTGGCGCAGGATTGTCTCGACCTCCCGCTCCTCCAATGGGACGGGCTTGGGACGATTCTCGCTCTCGTCCTCGGCCGACACGAATCCGGTGACTCCCGGCGTATTTCGCACGACGAACCAGCTCTGGTCATCCATTCGCATCTGCACGAGAATGTAGCCGGGAAAGATCGTGCGAGCAACGGCCTTGCGTTGACCTCCCTTGATCTCTATCTCGTCCTCTGTAGGCACGACCACTTGTAGGATCTTGTCCTGCATATCCATGGTCTTGATGCGCTGTTCAAGATTGACCTGGACACGCTTCTCCTGGCCTGAGTAGGCATGGATTATGTACCAGCGGACTTCGGGATCGGAGTGTGTGATCTGAGTAGTCATTGGATCAATTCCCCAGCAGGATAGCCATGATTCGAGCGAAACCCAGATCGACCAGACCGAGGAACGCGCCGACGGCAACAGCGACTGATATGACCATCAGGCTGAGCCGAAGCGTTTCCTCTCGGGATGGCCATGTCACCCGGCGGAGCTCACCGACGACTTCGCCTACCATACGAACGCTAAACGCGCGACGGGCGACCTCGCCTCCGACTCTACGGGTTACACCTGGGTCCCTTGCCACGGCTATCTCACCTCGCGGTGCAACACATTGCTCGCGGCATCTGGGGCAGAACTTCTTCAACTCCAGCCGCTGCGGGTCGTTACGTCGGTTCTTACTGGAATGGTATGTCCGCTCGCGGCAGGTTGTGCAACCAAGCGTTACAAGAATTCTGGCTTTTCCCCGACGGGCCATCTTCTATCTGCTCCTGGTCCTGCCAGCGAATGTAAAGATCAATAACCGGTGTCCGGCCATCGGATCATGTAAGTAATTTCGGCTGACGGGGGCTCTATTTCGTCAGCCCTCCCCAGGTCATCGCGACCAAGGAGAGGGCACGGATTTTATCATTCGGTTTCGACGATACGGGTATTAGTCCAGAATTTTCGTGATGACGCCGGACCCGACGGTCCTGCCGCCCTCACGCACAGCAAATCTGAGCTGCTCTTCGAGCGCGACGGGAGTGATGAGCTTAATGTTCATCTCGATGTTGTCGCCGGGCATAACCATCTCGACGCCTTCCGGAAGCTGGACCTCGCCGGTCACGTCGGTAGTCCTGATGTAGAACTGGGGCTTGTAGCCGTTGAAGAACGGCGTATGCCTTCCGCCCTCATTCTTGCTGAGGACGTATACCTGAGCTTCATATTCACGATGCGGAGTCATACTCCCCGGGGCGACCAGAACCTGGCCACGCTCAATTGCATCGCGGTCCACTCCTCGCAGCAGTACACCCACGGCATCTCCCGGCTCGCCCGAGTCGAGTATCTTGTGGAACATCTCAACGCCGGTGACAACGGTGTTGGTGGTCTCCTTGATGCCGACGATTTCGATGTTATCACCCATCTTGACGATGCCCCGTTCGACGCGCCCGGTGACAACGGTGCCTCGGCCCTTGATGCCGAACACGTCCTCAATAGGCATAAGGAAGTCGAGGTCTCGCGGGCGGTCCGGGACCGCGATGTAGTCATCGACGGCGTCCATGAGATCCCATATTCCCTTCGACCACTCGCCGTCTCGGGAGTTGTCATCGCTCTCGAGGGCATTAAGGGCGCTAACCCGAACGATCGGGATGTCATCGCCTGGGAATCCGTACTCGGACAGAAGCTCAGCCATCTCTAGCTCGACGAGCTCAAGGAGCTCCTCATCTTCCATGGCGTCCACTTTGTTGAGAGCGACGACGACGGCAGGAACTTCCACCTGTCGGGCGAGCAGGATGTGCTCACGTGTCTGTGGCATTGGACCGTCCGGAGCGCTGACCACCAAGATGGCACCGTCCATCTGAGCGGCGCCGGTAATCATGTTCTTAATGTAGTCCGCGTGGCCTGGGCAGTCCACGTGCGCGTAGTGGCGAGTGTCGGTCTCGTACTCTACGTGCTGGATCGCAATTGTCACACCGCGTTCCGCTCTTCAGGAGCGTTGTCGATAGAGTCAAAAGGACGGAAGTCCGCATATCCAGCTGACGCCAACACCTTGGTTATGGCAGCCGTCAGGGTCGTCTTGCCGTGGTCAACGTGACCGATGGTGCCGACGTGACGTGGGGCTTCGTCCGTTCAAACCTCTGCTTAGCCATTTGTCCTCTTTCCTCCGTTGTCTGGAGCCCACAAGCAGACTCGAACTGCTGACCTCGTTCTTACCAAGAACGCGCTCTACCTCCTGAGCTATGTGGGCCCGATCCTTATTTGGCGATCAGAAACCTATCTATGGGTGGTGGACGGGGAGGGATTCGAACCCCCGTAGCCCTTCCGAGCGCCAGATTTACAGTCTGGTGGTATTAACCACTCACCCACCCGTCCACGGCAATTCAAGGTAGTTAGCATAGCGACCTTTGCCAATCCAAGAAAAGCCGAGAGGGGCAATGGTGTGGAGAGAGCCCCAGGGGGGATTCGAACCCACCAACCTCCCGATTACAAGTCGGGTGCGCTGCCAATTGCGCCACTGGGGCCCGGTAACTGCATGTATGACTTTAGGCAGGATTGGTTTTGGGGTCAATAGCAAGTCTTCAGCGCTGCGCTGAACCATGCGGAACACCTCATTCAGTGAAAGACCGTGCTCTACAGCGATTCTATGGCAGTCCTCATACTCCGGGTTGGCGGACACCGTCTCACCGTTCAGTATCTTCAGCTTCACGCGGGCCTGACCAAGTGGGGTCTCGATTGTTCGTATCTCCCGTTTGGCTTCATACCGTTCGATGGGGCGCACCCTTACGCCAAGCGTGGTCGTTTCACGCATGACCAGGTCGACGGCCTGTTTCTCATCAGCTCATCCACAATGGCGCACAGCATGGTTGCAGGCCTGTTTTTCTTCATCTGTATGGGGGTGAACCACACGTCCCTAGCGCCTAACTCGAACAGTCTTTCGTGAACGTAACCGAGCACCTCCCCAGTGGAGTCGTCCAAGTTAGTTTCCAATAGCGAAAGGCCGCCCGTCGTCGATCCTTCCAAGATCTCGCCAACCCACAGACCGAGCACATTCGGGTACTCTTTTGGATCTCTCGATCCGAGACCGTAGCCGTGCGCCTGCATCGCCATAGTAGGCTGGCGAAACTCAGCGAGTGTCGTGATGATTCCGGCAACTGTCGGAGTCACCATCTCGCCTGTCCTCACGGGATTACCCGGTGCTTGAACTATTGGAGCATCCGCCATCGTAAACAGCGCCGAAGTCGCAGGCGACGGCACAGGCAAGACACCGTGAGCACTCCTGAAAACACCCGTACCCATAGGGAACGGCGACGCAAAGACCCGCTCAACTCCAAGGTGTTCGAGTCCGGCAACGCTTCCGACAACATCGATGAGGGTGTCGAGAGTCCCCAGTTCGTGGAGGTGAAGGTGGTCTACCGTGGTACGGTGTACTCTAGCCTCGGCTTCTGCCATCCGCCTGAATATCGCCGTCGATCGTCGGAACGGGGAACCGCGGAGGGGCCGAGAGTGGACGAAGACCCGAACGGTTTCGATGAAGTCGTCAAACTGATGGGTCTTCCGAGCTTGCTCGTCCAACTCGACGTGCACAAACGTGCCAAGAACCCCGCGCTGGGGACGGCTCGGCACCCGCAGGTCGGACTCCGACGATACCCATCGCGGCCATAGGTCGTGATGGGATGGCCTCAAAGAGTTGTCCCAGATCACAAGTGCGCAAGCCGAGCCCTGCGCCATGTTGTCCATCACGATGCGTAGCGCTGCCACTGAGCACTGGAAATAGGCTGCTCTCAGTTAACTACTCCCATATCTGCTCAGACGATTCCGAAGGAGGATGAGTGACTCGTGCGCCATCGAACCGCGTGTTGCCTGCTCAGCGTCGGGCCGGCAAAAATGTATGCCTCAAGAGTCTTGACTCTTACTGG